CAACTATGGACTAAAACCTCTACACATCGTGATATGAAGTAAACATTTCCTCCTTTAACCCTGGGATATAACAGGAATTTTGTCTCAGTAATGAGAAAAGTAAGTTAGACACCTGCAGAACCATCTCCTAACTATATCCAGCAAGATGATGCAAGAAAATTTCCTTCATAAAAGTAATGAAAAAAATGTATCATTAGGCCAAATATGACTGTAGAAGATGGCCCAATGTAGAAGATGGCTTTCCTGATTTCAAATGGAATAATGGAATTCTAATTTGCTAGGGCCAAGTGTCAGCACCTAACTGTCAGTGAAGTGGAGTGTACCATAAAAGGCAAGAGAGTTATACTAGAAATCACAGTGGCTTGTTTGCAGAGTATTTGTCAGTGGATAGTTGATTATCATGTCACTTTGAGCCAAATATACAGGCAGATTTCTAGAGGGATGCCTGATCTACATAGCAATCTATAGAAAATTTTTAATTGAAATGGACGTAACTGATAATTGATGAATCCTCACAGTTGCTTTCTAACAAGAGTGATAGCCACTATTGTAGGAAGGGCTATGAGGAAGGTCCTAAAACTTCTATTTCTACCAGTGCAGCAAATTAGAAGCAATTCTTGATCTTTGGTCTTTCTTGATCTTGGTCTTTGAGGAAATTGCAAAAATTAATGCTACCATTAAGACTTGAAAGAACTACAGGCAGCGACATCACATGTCCTCACCACATCCCTACTGAACAGACCTGTATTTTTCAACAAAAATAGTGATGCCCAAAATGAATACTAAGGAATGAATGAAGCCTAGCATAAATTTAATGCAGTGCTAACTGAAATTCCAGGCAGTGAACCAGATTTGGTGTCTTTCCTGAAGCAAATCAGCATGACCCTTTTCATTTGCTTTGCAGGTACCAACATTTCCCTCTTTCCATACTTGAAATGGTTTGTTTTTGCTTTTAGGAATAATGGCACCCATTCATACCCCTGCTTCAGGCTCATGTCCTCTGCATTCATCCTGCAGAGATCTTGCTTGTCCTAATCGTCCATATATCACATTGAGTCACTTCACTGATAACATTACAATGCATGTATCTAATGTTTATGAAGGATTAGGTATTTTAGAGTCCTTAGTAAGATAATATGTGAACACAGAAGGTGAGAGATAAACCCCCCAAATTCAAGGACCTGCCATTTCAGTGAATCTTCTGGCTCAGCTGTTACTCCTCCAACATGATGTAAAATGGCTGCCCCTCAGATCACCTACCTTAGAAAACTGGAAGAAGTGCTTGGTCAGTTCTTTTTGTACTGGGGGAAATCACATAAGCCACAGTTGAATGTGCTACTTGGGCCCATTTATAGAGTCACCTCTGAGGCTGCCAATTTCAAGTAGAGACAAGCAATGCAAGTACATGCACCAGTTCAGGTGTAGATCAAGCCACATACCATGTGCACTCACATCTTATTCACCAAGTCCAATGATACTCAAAATGTCTATGGGAAATAGGAATCCTGTGAGGAGTGTCTTACACGCATCAACAAAATAACCACAGCACCAGCCAGCAAGATTGTGATACAAATCTATGCTTCATTCTGGGCATCACTATTTTTCTCTTGAAAAATAGCTTTTACCCTGCCACTAGGCCTTGGTAGGGGTTAAATACCTGAACACAGTATGCTGGATGACCACAGGAGCTGCGTGTCTCATCATGAACTAGATGTTGTCTAACCCACCGAGCCATAAGATTGTGTGAGCAAGAATGCTCTTTCAGGGGCTGGGGAGATGGTTCAGTAGGATAAGCGCTTGACTGGCAAATGCAAGGATCTGAGTTCAATCCCTGGTTCCACAAAAAAAAAAAAAAAATACTCTTTCAGAGGAAGGCGATGGTTACACAATATCCTGCACTTGGGCAAAAGGTACTAGTAAAATACATTGCTAAATGACTCTGATTCCTTTGATTCTGGGGGTACTTTGCCCCTTTGTCTGTAGTCAGCGGTTTCTTGGAGATGTCCCTCATTGCCATGTGTTAACCCTTTTTCTGTTAATGTAACAAAACACCAGAGGGTAAGAACTTTCTAAAGAAAACAAGGTTACTGACCTTATCATTTTGGAGACTAAAACTTCCGGGTTGGATAGCTCTGGTGGTTTAGTCTCTGGGAAGGGCTTAAATGACAGATGGCATTGTAGCACCAACATATGTGAGAGCTGATGATGGCTTGGTGAAACAAGACAAACTAGTATTATTTGGTATAAGGAGAGACAAGCCTTCCTCTCATAAGAATAAACTCAATCCGCAGAACAGCATTAACCCCTTCCTGGGTGATGCTTCCGATAACCTAACTACTTCTTCCTAGGCCCCACATCTTAAAGGTCCTACCATCTCCTAATACTGCCACATTGGAAACCAAGCACCCAGCACATGGACCCTTGGGAAACAAAACACATCCAAACCATTGTAGACCAGTTGACTCAGGGAGAAATAACTGGAATCCCATTGGCTAATCATACTTTATTATATGTAGTGAAGGTCATTGTTATAGAAGATTTCTCCCAGTGAGCAATACTTTGAGCAATACATTTTGTTACATGATATTTCTGAACTAAGAGAAGGCTGGTTGTTCAAATGATACTAAGTCATGGGGAGTTGCTAGTAGTTCATTTGAAAAAGCATCAAGAAAATTGTGACAGGAACATCTAGGAAACAAAGACCTCTTAGAATAATCACAGATTGGGAAAAATTTGTATCACATATGCTGAACAAAGTCCTTACTACTGTAATTAGGTGGAATGCAATCAGCCACCCTAGAGTTTCTTTATAAGCCCATGAACAAAATGGTCATAGTGGGAGGGAGGCAGAGTGTTCACCAGCTCAACCACATTCACTTCCCTATAAGTCTGCTTCCCAGGAATGTAAAGCAGCTCACATCCCTCTTCACTTTTTCTCTAGTAAACCTACAGAACACCTGTTAAACAACTGTGTAGGACTGAATTGTGTCCCATACTCTCCCATTCATATATTAAATCTCCCCCCAAAGTGACTAAATTTGGCACTGTTGTCCCTGGATCACTTGGATGATAATATGATTTTACTTTTTCTACAGAATTTATGAAGGTCCCAGGCTGAACCAGATATGCTATAGGCATTCACTGTCTTTGAGGAGCTCTCCCTCTTCCTTCTGAATTGGGGGTCTTCTCTGTATTTGTAAGAATGAGAATTTGGTTGATCAAAAATCCGGGCATAGGGTCTTAGTGAGGCTCTGTCTGAAGCTAAAAAAATATGAACAAATAACAGCAACAACAGAAACCCCATAAAATTTATGAAGGAGCTGGGGCATAGCTCAGAAGGCCTTGGGGTTCATCCCCAGTACCACACAAGAATTCCACTGGCTGGGTCTCTGACCATACTGGTGTGAGCCTTCCCTGGCCCCTGTAGCCCTGAGTCCTGTAGGGCTGTCTGAAACCTGACCCTTTCATATAAGATAAGGCCCAAAGTGCTCCTGTGAGTCTCCTCAATTCCTTGTCCCCAAGTCTCTCCTCTGGGGGCTGGATTTGCTTTTCACGAACTGCGTGGCTTGCACAAACACTTCTGAATGGAATCATCTTAACTAAAGGTTTAGGACTCCAGGAAGATTAGAGGTACTGAGGAAGTGAGGTCTAGCCTTTAAATTTTCTTTTTTCTCCCTCTGCACCCAGGTTTTTGAGATGAGACTGGGTCTCACTATGCAGCCCAGGCTGGCCTCCGTCTCACTGAGATGGTCCTGTCTCAGCCTCTGCAGTGCTGGTGCTCCAGACACGTGCTGCCATGCTCAGCTCAAGTTCCATTCCATTTTTCGCTCTCACTCTATATCTCTTCCTCTTCCAAAGTTTCTCAGGAACTCTTTCCTCCAGCTTACAGAATTCAGATTGGCTCCAACGCTCAAACTTGAACAAAGCCAAATTACCAAACTGCTTGCAGAAGTCTATTATTTTGTTATTTTATAAATGTTTTACTCATTTGGTACAGGGTCTTGCTATGCAGCTCAGACTGGTGGTGATCCTCCTGTATCAGCCTCCCCAGCACTGGGATGATAGGCGTGTGACACCATGCTAGGTTTTGGGTGGCGCCCGGGGCCGCACGACATATGGTACCACGGATTGAACCCAGGCCCTTGTGCTTCGTAAACAAGTGCTTAGACTGCTGAGCTATCTCCCTAGCTGCAGTCTATTATTTTAAAGCAGTTTGTTTATCTTATAGGCTTGTTATGTACATGTACAATGATGGGTGTATCATACACCTGAGATATCATATGCATGCAGACGGTAATATATAAAATATATGATCGTGGATTTATAAACTTGTTTCCTCTTGACTCTACCAGGACTAATCAAGGGAATTTACAGAGCATAGAACTGCTGAGTCTGAGTTGCCTCAAATTTCTCATTGGCTTGTGAAGAGCAGTTTGGAAACAACGTCTTTGGAAACAACGTCTTAGTTTCTCAGGGGTTGAATCTTTTATCAAGGCTTTTTGAAGATCAATAAAAAATAATCAGAATTGGTAAAAGGTTTTTTTTGGAACTGGGGATTGAACTCAGGCCCTTGAGCTTGCCAGGAAAGCGTTTATTCTACTGAGCCATCTCCCCTGCCTCAGCCCACCCTGAGGGTGGGGCTGGCAGAGCATGTGGTGCCAAATGCTGGGAATTGAACCTCAGTTCCCTGCAGCTGCCTAAGCTTGCCTAAACAGGCGCATTAGACCACTGAGCTATCTTGCCCGCCCTGGAAAAGATTGTTAGCCCATACTTAATCTCTGCGAAGATGAAATCGGGTTTGATCTCTATGTATTTTTGCTCCTTAATGAACTCCACATAAAATAAAGACAGCGAGCAGTTACCCAAGACCGTCCACGTTTGGGGCGATACTCCTCCACACCTGGTACCAGCTCGGGCCGGCGCGTTGCTGGAGCAGCTGGGACTCTGCCTGGAGACCCTACACCACCCTGAGGTGCGGGGCCCAGAGCTGCTGCGGCGCAGCGACGGACCAGAGACTCTCCGCCCCGGCCGCGGGGGGAGGGGTGAGGGGGGTGAGCAGGGCGGAAGGCGGGCGCGGGTTCCCGGAGACCTTTAAAGCGCGGCAGGCGCGGGCCTGGGCGTTGAGCCGAGCGGCGGCCGAGGGCGCACAAGCAGCCCGGTGCCGAAGGAGGAGCAGAAGCAGGAACAGAGCAGGAACAGCAGCCGCGCGAGGGGCTGCCCGCCCCCCGCCTCTCTCCAGCGCCCGGCATGCGCCCCCGCTAGCCCGTCAGCATGCTGCGCCCGCTGCTCCTCGCAGCGCTCTGCCTGGCCGGCCGCCCCGGGCGCGCCTGCCAGCTGCCCTCCGAGTGGAGGCCCCTGAGCGAAGGCTGCCGCGCGGAGCTGGCCGAGACCATCGTGTACGCCAGGGTGCTGGCCCTGCACCCCGAGGCGCCCGGCCTCTACAACTACCTGTCGTGGCAGTACCAAGCAGGCCAGGGCGCGCTCTTCTACTCGGCAGAGGTCGAGATGCTGTGCGACCAGGCGTGGGGTAGCATGCTGGAGGTGCCTGCCGGCTCCAGGCTCAATCTCACCGGCCTGGGCTACTTCTCCTGCCACTCGCACACCGTCGTCCAGGGCTACTCCTATTTCTTCTTCCTCAGGTGAGCCGGGCACCGCCTCCGCTTCCGCCACCTTCTCCGAGCTTGCAAGGAGCCTGCGGCCAGCTGGAGAGCCCCTGGGGTCCTGTCCCCCTCATGCGTTATTTCCTCTTTCTCAGTCTGACTTCTCTACAGGATCCTGATTACCTCTTCAGAATCCAGAGGTGATGTCGGTGTGCAATACACAGACTGGTGTCTCAGGCAAAAGGTCACAGTGCTTTCCAACAACTATTTCAGTCTTTGAAAAACTGACTCTCATGGGTAAGAATTAGGACAGAGAGACAAGCAGTCTTTGAAATCTGTCCTTGAAACTCTGGGTCTCTTTCTTGTCATCTTTGGGTCAAATATTTGTCAAGGACCTCTGCATCCCCACCTGCAGAAGATGAGGAGCAAGTCTGGTGGGTACTAAACACACCCGCTCAGACAAAGCTCCTGGTGCAGTGTAGCTGCCTAACCAGAGAGTGAGAGGACCCACTGTCCTGGTACTCACCTCAGTGCCCAGACAGGCCGGTTGTCCTCTTGTGGCATAGTCTCTGCCAACCTCCTGGTTATTCACAAGCAAAGGTTTCTGGGTCCTGCCTGGGGTGAGACTCTGGTTCACAGGATTTTGAACAGCACAGCACTGAATCAGACAGGCGGCCCTCTCGGAGTCAGTACCACTGCAGTCCTGCAAGGTACTGTGAAATTGGTCTTTGGTCAAGATGGAAGGCATCTTGTCCCAGAATTCAGTCCATTCCCATTGATTATTGAATTCTACTGAAATCTGAAATCAAAAACAGCAGGTGGAACACTAAATTCATTGGTTGATTTCCATTGAATTAAGGTGATACAGGACATCATTGAGAAAATAAAAGTGGAATTGAACCTATATGTCTAGACAGGGGGTAAGTTAATCCAAAGATGGTGTGATCAATAATAGTTTCAGGTTGCCCCAGTCCATGAAGCAGCATTCTCGGTATATGGAACCATCTGGACCTAGGTCTGCAGATTTTTAGCTCCTGTCACAATGAGAAAGAAAACAGTTCCATAGAATATGTTTGGAAACTCACGTCCACATGTGTTTTCCATATTGAAGCCAGAATATCTAAGTTTAGAATAACATGTCCTGCTTTGTGTTGGCTTGAGAAGGGGTTAGCTAGATTAGGTTGAGTTGTGTGTGTGTGTGTGTGTGTGTGTGTGTGTGTGTGTGTGTTTTAACTGCTGAGAAAGGGTAATCTTTAAATAAAGTCAGCGAAAATGGAGAGACTGTCTTCCACACACAGAGAAACTTAACTCTGAGTTTAGTTTCTGTTTAGGAAAAGTACTGAGGAACCAGTTATAAAACTATTCAAGGACACACTTTATTTTCCAAAGCAGGAGGAGCCCAAGTACTTGAGCAAAGTTTATAACTTTCCTTCTTCTCCCTTTTCTTCTTCTTTCTTCTTTCTTCTTCTCCTTTGCCTCCTCCTCCTCCTTCTTCTCATTCTCCTCCTCCTGCTCCTCCTCCTTCTTCTCCCCTTCTTCCTCCTCCTCCTCCTCCTCCTTCTCCTTCTCCTTCTCCTTCTCCTCCTTCTCCTCCTCTTCCTCCTTCTCTTTCTTCTTCTTCTTCTATCACAAAGCAATTTTGTCCAGTGACTGGAGTGATCAGCCAACTCTTCATCTTTTGCTCTAACACTGTTACAAAGAGGGCAGACTTACCAAGCCAAATAGTAGTCTCACAGATTTTCATTTCATAGGACCATGTAAATAATTGCATCGAAATCATTTCTTCTCTGTTGTTCTAGGACCCCCTGCCTGAGAACAAATACCAAGTTGTGTGTGTGTGTGTGTATGTGTGTGTGTGTGTGTGTAAGGTTGGCTGTAGAGACTCATGTGGAAGCCCACTGTGCCCCCTTTTTCTGGGTTATAATCATCACCTCTTCTTTTCCATGACTGCTCTAAAAAGAAATTTGTATCAAACTTGGTTTAAAAAAAGTTTGCTAATATTTGCATTGCCTCCATTCTAAGTGATTTATTTACTTACATTGCTTAATGCAGTCTTGATGACAGCATTAAAAAAGTAGATAGAGTCCTGTTATAATCTCTTTCAACAGATGAGAAGACTGAGGCTTATGAATTAAGACATCTGTTTCATGTAATAAATAAAATAATGCAATGGCTATTTGAACCCAGGTCATCACAATTGGCCTTTCTCTTACCTGGAAGCAAGATACTATGTCTGAGAAAAAAAAAAAAGGCTTTTTGGAGACTTGAAAGATGTACAAATACACAGACATGCCAACATCTACTTTCCCCTTTCTGTCTCAAAATTGTTCTTTTGCAAACCCAACGGATAGACTCAAGAAGTGTAAGGTAGAGAAACAGAAATAAGAACTGTAGAAACAACTTCATGAAGACCTTGCCAGTCATTGTGATGAACTTAATATGGCTACCATGATCCCCTGTGATTCTTGTCCCATGCCGGTTTATTCCAGCCATCCCAGATCCATCTCTGTTTTTTTTTTTTTTTTTTCTTCTCTACTAGGATGGATGAAAATTATAACCTCTTGCCTCATGGTGTCAATTTCCAAGATGCCATTTTTCCTGATACACAGGAAAATAGGAGGATGTTTTCCAGCCTTTTTCAGTTTGCGAACTGTTCCCAAGGACAGCAGCTTGTGACTTTCTCCAGTGACTGGGAGATCCAGGAAGACAACAGGGTAAGCACTGCCTAAACACCATGCCACAGCAGAACAATGGATCTGCTATATCTTGTATGAATCTTGTGACCAAGGGAGTCAAGAATATTCCTGCAAAAACTTAGATCGAAGTGTTTATCACCTCTCTCCCTCCTAGATGTTAGAAAACATTACTCATAAACTTTAGATTCCTGAGGTTTTATTATTTATTCAAAAAGTATAGAAAGAAAATTAGATAAATGTTGGCTTATTGTGTCTCAGTTTCCCCTTCTGCAAAAGAGACAATAAAACCAACTGCACCACAGGGCCAACACAGTATGATTTAAATGTGAAATGTAGTTATGCAAACTCCTTGGCATAGTACTTAGAAGAGTGGGTGTTCAGTATGTGTAAACCATCGACTATTTTTGTTATTGTTATGGAATTCTTCTGTAGAAAGAAAAAGTTCTCAAGAAAATAAAATAACTTTTATAGCTAATATTTCTATGATTTTAGAATATTTGTTAAAACTGATAGGATGGCCAAGGTGATCACGGAGTGGAAGGATCAGGACTATTTTGGGTATGAAAATACAAAGAGATTTTCCAACTTGGCTCAAATCCCAGTGGAGGGAGATTTTTGAGACTTGTCACTTTTCCAAAACATGACACTGTTACAACAGAGTTGGGATGGTATTGCACCTATTAGTCTAGGCCTACGTGATGGTGGCCTTTCAGTCCCAGGCCACCCCAAAGCTGTCTTTAGGGAAACATGACAGAGTCTTAGAGAAAGTTCTGATGTGGGAATCACCTTTTTATAGGACAAGTGGACTCGCACACAGCAGGTGTTTCCCTTTTTTGCAGCCACTTGGGAAGGCTTTGAGAGAAATGACTTGTCTGGTGGCAAGGCCTAGCGTAGCTGCTTTGTTTTTCTGGAGTACTTTATCTTTCACCCAGGCTCCCTGCCCTTGCAGATGCCTCCTGAGACTTGTACAGCAGCTATTCATGTGATAGACAAATATGTCCTGCCAACGGAAATCATTATTTTTTGACATTAAGTGGTTTCTTTCATAGTTCTATCCTCTTGACAGAAAGCTTTTTTGTATTTTAGGGAAGGATCCACGGGGTGTTCAGGGTCTTACTACTGGATTGGACTTGCAGTGATCTGCCTGTTTACAGCCTCCCAAGAGCTGAGATTACAGGCGCCCAGTCTCAATTGCCATCTTAGTACACCCTGGGGTCGGGGCTGGCCCAGCAGGCCCAGAGATTGACTCCCCAGTCCCTGTACTTGCTTGCAGGCATTTTAATCCACTGAACTATTTGGCCAGCCCCTCTATTGACAGAAATCTTGGTCTTTCTAACCCCTCAGTGCTTTATCAGTATTTTTGGGAAATCTGCCTTATATTTTACCCTTAACATGTTTCTGAACACTTGCTTTATTTTATCCTTCTTAATCTTTATGATGGCTCACTCTATATTGAAGTGGATGCACCCAGCCTAAGCCGCAGTAACCAAAGTGTGAATCACACCTAGTGTATTCTAAAAACAATCTTTTTTGGCATGCCACTTACTTAACTAAACCCTTCATAGTAACAGATTTATGTTCAGAGTTCTAATATTCTAAAAATACTGGAATACGTTGGCCCCAAAACTTTAGCTACATAACTTATTAGCCCTATGGTCACATAATGAAGCTATTAACATTACATTGGAATTAGATTTTTCCATGACTTGAAAAGAAAAGGAGCAATAGGACCATGGAAAATTGTTTCAATGTGAAAGCAGATCTATTTCTGTTGATCAGATGTTGATCTTAGGACACTTCCCTTTTCCTTTCCCTTTAGTACTCTGGCCTCTTAGATAACAAAGTGTGGGAGTACAGCATACATGGAGAAAGAGTCAACACTTGAAAGGAGGAAAATAATTGTTTCAGATCACTGTACTTTTGAGCAGTTGAATTTAGAAAATTGATCTGAGGCACCCCGGACTTCTCAGACCTTTTGCTTGTACCATTTTTATTCCCCACCCACTTTGAAAAGGGCCACGTCTGAACTAAATGCAATTAGGCCATTATTTTAACATTTAATTTTAAGAAATTAAAATGAAGGAAATTTACTTTAAGAATTTTTTCAATGTTCCTAGTGATATTCTTACATAGTCTAGCATGATTAAATCAGTTGTAAATGGATGGTCTCAGAGTTAGATGAAGAATTATTAACAACTACTTGCTCTTTTATTTAAAAACATATTGAAGTGTCTGTCTTTGTGGGAAGGTAAGTATCAAGTTTTCTTTCCTATCCAGGATAAGCATGTAATGGAATGTCAGGAACATTCTACATTTTCCCTCAACCTTAGGCAGGACCAAAATTGCTGTTCAGGACAGTTTGGTTGAAGTAGGAATAAGTGTCAGGAGACTTTCGATAATCAGAACATGCTAATCCTTTTCATGCTCTGAGAGCAGTGAATGCTTCGGGACTTGCATAAATGCTTTGTGCACGTGTGTGTGTGTGTGTGTGTGTGTGTGTGTATGTGTGTGTGTATGTGGAAAGAGAGAGAGAGAGAGAGAGAGAGA